GGCGTCCCCCTTTCCCCATACCCGTGCCCCAAAGGTGCCCCCCCCCCCCCAGCCGTGACCCCCAGCTCCCCCCCCATCCATAGCCATATCCCCCCAGCTGTGTCCCCCCCACCCATGTCCCCTGTCCATAGCCACGTCCGCCCAGCTGTGACCCCTGTCCCCAGCCATGCCCCCAGCTGTGACCCATCGCCGTGTCCCCCCAGCCGTGTCCCCTACACCCAGCTGTGTCCCCTGTCCCCAGCCATGTCCCCCAGCCGTGTCCCCTATCCATAGCCATGTCCTCCAGCTGTGTCCTCTATCCCCACCCGTGTCCCTGCAGCCGTGTCCCCTATCCCCAGCCGCGTCCCCTATCCCCAGCCATGCCTCCCAATTGTGTCCCCTATCCATAGCCATGTCCCTTATCCCCATTGTGTCCCCTATCCCCAGCTGTGTCCCCCAGCCGTGTCCCCCAGCCATGTCCCCTGTCCCCAGCTGTCCCCCAGCTGTGTCCCCTATCCATAGCCATGTCCCTTATCCCCACTGTGTCCCCTATCCCTAGCCATGTCCCCCAGCCGTGTCCCCTGTCCCCAGCTGTGTCCCCCAGCCGTGTCCCCTGTCCCCAGCTGTCCCCCAGCTGTGACCCCTATCCATAGCCATGTCCCTTGTCCCCATTGTGTCCCCTATCCCCAGCCAGGTCCCCCAGCCATGTCTCAGCCATGTCCCTCATCCCCAGCTGTGTCCCCCCAGCTGTGACCCCTATGCATAGCCATGTCCCCAGCCATGTCCCCTACACCCAGCCATGTCCCTTATCCCCAGCTGTGTCCCCTATCACCGGCCACATCCCCCAGCTGTGTCCCCTCTCCCCAGCCGTTCCCCCACTGCAGCCACCCGTGGCCCAGGAGGACACGTCGGCGGCGCGTGACCCCCCCGTGGGGACCAGCTTCCTCATCGCCTCCGAGCCGTGGCCACCCCACATCCGTCCCCGCCTCGCCACCCCCTCCCGGGGTGGCCGAGGGCACCCACAACCGTCGCCTTTAACGGAGCCGGTGTCCCCGGGTGTCCCAGGTGAAGGGTGGCTCCACCTCGTCCCTCCCCTCGGCGCCTTCCTTCCTTGTGCCTGTCACTGGGGATTAGCGAAGGGACAGCCCGGGGCTTGGGGACAGGGACGGGGGACAGGGCCAACCGTCACCTCGTCTGGATGTAGGAGGCCCAGCCGGCCGGGGAGGACCGAGGGCGGCATCCCCCATCCCTGCGGTGGGCGAGGACGGGGACCCTCCCCGCGCCCCGCCAGCCCTCGGGGGCACCATGAAGGATCGGCTGGAGCAGCTCAAGGCGGTGAGAGACCCCCGGGGTGGAGAGGGGATGGGGGACACCTCGCGGGGTGGGGGTCCCAGCTGGGGGTGTCACGGGGATGGGGGTCCCTGAGCCCCCACCCCATGGTGCATGGGGGCATCATGGGGACGGGGGACCCCAAAACCCAGGTCTGTGGTGGATAGGGACATGATGGGGACGGATGTCACCGAGACCTGTGCATGGGGCTGTCAGGGGGACG